CGACCATCCTGCATCTTCAGAAGGAAAGATAACAATAAATGGAATAAATTCAGCTTCAAATGTAGAGAATCAGAAAGAACAGAAAAAAGAAAGAAAAACATCACACATCTGTGATTGAGAAAGAAAAAAACTGAAATGATCACTGATGATGAGGACTTAAATAGGTTATAACATCTTCTATATCGAATTATGCATTTTCCTGTATCTGTTTATATCCACTAAATTTTGGAGAATAACATCTACTATGACTCAAAGAGGAAATGGTAGCCGATAATATTTTTAGGTTTTGATTATGTTAATATAGTCTACCAAATAGCATATGAATGAATGAAATCAGAGTGTATCATCTGGATAGTATTCCTCGTAAGTTTGATCCCTTATTCGTTAATAAAAATTAATTATTTCACATGCAATTATTCTTAATCATCACATTTACTATTTATAAAGAAATTAGCACAATTTATTCCTTATGTAAAACATATCCAGTTGAAAATAAATTTTACGTATGACTACAATTGGAACGATAGATTACATTTTCTAATAGAGACTATCAGTCTACCAAGACAATATTTCAAAAATATGCTCAATCTACACTTATACATGAATACCAATCTTAATGTTAATGAATGAGACGAGATATATAAAAAGTTGAAATCTTGGTGTAATTTACAACGATCAAAACTATATTTTCTATTTGTTTGTAAAAGTATTCTCTTGTTTTGTTCAATTCAAAAGAATATAAATGAAAAAAATGATAACTAAGACTTCAGCAGTAGATTTCTTTTAGTATCTTTGAACGCAAATACGGATGATATGATTTTTTTAGTTTTGTTCAAAAGCAATATGAAGTATGCAATAGGATTCATTCGTTATATATAAAATTAACATAAAAAATACCTGATACTTTGTGGAAAATAAATTCTTGTCTTGATAAGAAGGTTAAATTCTCTGCTTTTATTTAATTTTATTTGATATTAATAATTAATGAAAAAAATTTGCGACGTTTCGTATCTCTATGAGATACTTCCTCAGACACTAAAGTTATGACAAATCTTTTAACATATACAAGTAAAAAAAACGTTTTTTTTCCTTGCGTTATTAGTCATTGATGGTGATACTAAAAACAAGACCGTATTAGTCATAGATAGATAAGGATATAATTATTTTCCGTACCACTATCACCGTTTTGTTTTTCGTTACTTCTTATTTTTTTTTGTATTTATTATAATTTTTGTTTGAATTTCTTCTTTGTGTTTGTGCAGTATTGATGTCCATGCAGCATTAATTTCATCATGTTTATTTATTGATTCAATTATTATAGAATAAATTGCCTCTTTTGTTCTTCTTTGCTAATTAGCTTTCGCTTCTTCGATAATAAATGTGTGTGGATGTGGTATTAATGACATCATTTTTCCTTACCTATACCCACTCTCTCCTCATATTTTTACTCGTAACATGTACATACACGCTTGTATGAGGAGGACAAAAAAAGCACATGTATGTACTATGAAAACATATTGAATGATGAGACAGTATCTTATGAGAGCGAAGAGAAAAGGTAATATAACGATGATCACGAGTGCTTTATCTTTCATTCATATTTAAAAAGAAAGCATTTAATTATACTTACTAATGGGAACTACCGTCTCTGCATCATTTCCACATTTATTAACCAGAATCATCGGTATATTAGCATCCATCATTGCATCTCTCGCGTGGCTTGCGACCATAGCAGCTCTCTTCGGTTTATGGGGCCGGGATCATTTTATTAAATATAAACCTGATGAAGGTCAAGTAGTATACATATCTGATGTAGGTGCTACACATAAAGGAGCGTTTATTGCGGGCACATGTATCACGGGGACATTCTTCGTTCTTACACTTATCTTTACCAAACTCTGCTTTGATATGGAAGATCGACGACGATTAAAACGAACTATATCGATCATAGCCATCATTTGTGGTTTCATTGGCGCCGCGTCTCTGATTCTCTTATCCATTTTTGATGCATTCAGACATAGCGGAGCTCATTATACTTTCACTGGTTTATTTATTGTATTCACTCTGCTCTCTGCTATATTCTCAATTCTACATCGAATCTCACGCAATCAACTAAATATTGCAGTGGCAATTCGTGTTATGTTCGTAGCCGTGGTTATTCCTTTGGCTATTACGTTCGTGGTAATGACTGCTATCAGAGGACCTAACAATGTATTGACATTGAAAGCTGTAGCAGCATCTTTAGAATGGTCCATTGCTATTTTATTTGTTTTTTATTTAGCTACATTCGCTCTAGATCTTATTTTCTATTAATGATTGTAATCTATGTTTTTAAAACCAGGAAAAACTAATGATCATTTACAATATATTAAAATAATAATCATGCGCTTAAGCGTCAACTATTTGTTGATTTTTCATTTTGTTAAATTATATTTTTTGTTTGTTTGATAAATATGAAATTGATTTCTACCGTCATTATTGCATATTCTTTTTACTGGTTTAAAAAAAATTGTTTTATTAGAAAAGTTCATCAAGCACACTATTGTAACCGAATAATATACAAGGATCTTTGAGAATATTGAACGTATGTTCGTGTTTTGTCTATGAAGTGACCGTGTAGAAAATAGAATAGAGTACGACTGCAATGATAATGATATAAAATTGCTAAACTTAAAAATCAGGATCAGTTTGAATGTAAAGTTTAATCTCATAGACACCTATCCACCCTTTTTGCCTTTCAATCCTCTCAATACTTTAAACTTTCACATCTTGAGGGTGTGAGTACGGTGTTAATGATATAATCACTCCACACCCATACCCATAAGACTTCAGCAACTGATTTCTCTTAGTACCTTTGCGTTTATAAGAAAAAAAACAAGTAATAGAATGAAACATTTTTTTGTTTTATGTTCGATTGAAATAAAACTTCGAAAAACCAATCCTTTGGATGTAAATACGCATGATGTTATTTTTTTGAAATTTATTCAAAAACAATATTAAGTACGCCATACTATTCATTCATTTTATATAAAATCAATACGAGAAATACCTAATATTTTGTGAGAACTACATAGAATATTTTCGTTTATCATTTATCTCTCGCTGTGAAAATTTCAAGTAAAAACCAGTAATCAGGTTCAAGTGACATTTTAATATGTATTTTTTTTTGTAACATATAGACAGACGAAATTCGATACTTCGGAGTCTTATAGGTAATCAAACATAAAAGAAAGAAAAATACGATGCCATATATTGAAAAAAGTTTAGTTACTTTTTCATTTTCTTTTTTTTTATTTGTTTTGTGTTTTTTCGTTCTTTTCTTTATTGCTGCTGTGTACATTTTCTGTCAACAAATTGTTTAATAATGATATTCACAATTGACTCATTTCTATAAGACGCCCAATTTTTTTCACATTTATTTTTTTCTTCATTTCTTATAACATGAGATGTAAATCATGGTAGAATTTTTTCGTAATACATTATAATTATTTGCTTTCGAATAAATGAAAGGTACAAATTAGTCGTTATATTTTGCTAAAGAAACATATTAATTCATGTAAGAAATCTTTTCAAAACCATAACTAATTTTTTTCTCTTTAATATAAATACAGACGAGAGCTTTTTATTCATATTAGATTTGATGGAAAAGAAAATTATTTCGACTGTTTTTTTTTGTTAATAGGAATGACACATAAAATGATTATCAACTTTTATTTCGTGTATTTATTATATTTTGGAAGTTACTTAACAGTTATATATTCGTATGGTGATTTCATATTATCGAAGAATAATGATAATTCAGATGTAACAAATGCAGTTCAATATGGAAGATTAATTAGAGTTAGACGAGCTGGTCCACTTGATACAACATCGATGGATTATTCAGCTACAGCTTTTACAAGTAAGATTCTTTATCTTAATACTTCTGATCGCTTATATGAGATGAATGTGCATCGAATAGAACACTGTGATTTTTTCGTATTTTTGACATATTCTAAACAATCTATATCTCATCTTTTATGTTTAGGTATGCCTCTAACAACTGTTTCTACAACACGCACAATGCCAACTATGCAATCTACTATGGGACCAATCTATGTCATTATAAGCTTTACTACACCAAGTATTTAATACATTTTCTAATTTCTCATTTGATATGTGTGTGTGTTTTTTTTCTTTTAAAGCTTCTACAGCACAGACAACTCAATCTATTAGTTCAACAAGTTCTTTTATTACAAGTAGTGCGATTACATCAAATATCATAACTATAACGAATAATATGACTGCATCTATGACAAGCGCCATAGTATCAAATTCTACCTCACCATATAATCCTGATAGCTGTGGTATTGCAGGCTACAGTAAATTACTTAATAATACATGTGTACCAAAACTAGATGCCCAAGTATGCATGATTTCATAAATTTTTCTCTTATATTTTAATTCTTTTACATAGATAATCGCATGCAGTATACTACGTAATTCATCTAGTGATACTGATCGCGTTGCTAAAGCTCTTTCCTTATACATCAGTTCAGTTACTAATTCATCAGTAACACTAAATACAACAAATACATTATCAGCCGATGAAATTGATAATATTGTTAAGGATTTAACTAATATTAATTTATCTCTCAGTTCAAATACATCGTTTATTGCAGTTCAACAACCAAATCAAGATGAGAATGCAATGGTTTTAGGTGCATCATTTAAACGTGGTATTGGTGGTGATATTATTGATACAAATAATGAAATGAATGTTACTGATTCATTTGTAACAGCTGCAGTTATTGTCAACAGAGAATCATTAAATGGTGTTACATCTCTTAATCTGCTTATTGTTGATAAACCTACAGAATATGAAAACATTGATAATTCAACAAATAAAACACTTACATCATCAGTTATTGTAGTTAATTTACAGAGAGATGATTCAGCATACGCTCCACTATATCTTTCATTATATTTCAAACTTATAGAAGAATATATACCAACTGGTACTGGAAAATATTTATGTTCATTTTATAATACAACTACATTTATCTGGAGTGAAACTGGTTGTAGTAGTGCTTTTTATAATCAACAATTTAATCGATATGAATGTCATTGTACTCACACAACTTCATTTGCTCTTGTCTGGTTACCACAATCATTATTAACCGAAACAAGTTCAAAAACATTTGATGCACAAGATATAGCTTCACTTATAACTCAATTAATTTCTATTATATGTTTTCTTATAATTATGATTCATGCAACTGGTATACGAATTATAAATCCACTGATAGGTGTACAAGCACTTAATTTACTTCCATTAATATCAACAGCAAGTACAACTATTCTTTTTAGTTTTTATATTGCACTTAGTCTAACTGTGTATACACAAACATCATCTTCGTATCAAACAGAATGTTTTTCAAGTTCAAGTGTATTAATGTTTATTACTTATTTCTTTTTAATTTTTATGTTTTGTGTCAAAACAATAACTGGTTACTTCTATTTCTTACGTTTTGTTCGTCTTTTTCCACAACCATCACATCGAAAACTTTTAATTATGCTTATAATATCATTTCTTATATCTTCTCTATGTACTATACTGGCTATTGGTTTAAATACGAATTCATCATATAATATTACACAATTATATCCATATGAACTTTGTTGGTTTAATTCCAATGTTATTTATTATTTTATGACAATACCAATTTGTCTATTTCTTTTCTTTAATATTATAACAATTATTCTTGTTTCAAATAGTCTTTTTAAACATGCACGTAGTGCTGCAACATCAAAACAAATTAATGAAAGATTAAAACGATGTGCTATTGTTTTATTATCATCTTGTGTAACACAAGGTATTGGATGGATATTTGGTCCATTTATTTCATTTATTGGTGTAACAGCTGGAGAAGTTTTAGGATGGATTTTTATTATATTAAATGGATTAGAAGGTGTGTGGTCAATACTTTTATATATATTAATTCGAACACAACAAATGGATGAACAAAAACATGTTGTAGCTGCAATAGAACTTTCAAAAGCATCTGGAATTCCTTTAAAAAAGAATGAAAAATTAAATGCGAAAAGAAGTAACAATGTAAATAAACCTCAAATTATAAGGAAGAAGATCATAGCCGTTCATCCATATGCATTTGATGATTTACATAAGAGATAAAGTATATTTCTTTAATGTAGATGATGGTTGAATATTTAATTAAATAAAAATATCTGTTTTCTTTTATACATATATCCATGCATTGCTAGTCATTAAGTTTTACAAGAACTATTTAGTCTTAAATTTTTCAATGTGATTTTATTCTCTTTCTCGTAGAGAAGAGTCAAGCAGAGATAAATTGTTTGCTTGATTGTATGTCCGCAGGGTCAAAAAAACATCGAAAATCGATTTTTCGAAAAAGACATTTCTAGAGGTATTTTGATGCGGGGACTTCAAACCTGAGGTTTATTGTGTGATCATTTGGAGGAGGAGGGGGGGGGGGTCAAAGGGAAAAAAAACATCGAAAATCAATTTTTCACGGTTTTCATTTGTTTTTCCCGTAAGTATGAAGAAAATGCATTTCTACGAGAAAGAGCTAAGCGAGTCCTCGGACGAGCGTTTCTTGTAGTGTAATATCGATTAATTTAATTTAGTGACGTAAAAAGATTTTTAAAACTTTATCTAAATCGTCTTTGGATAAGGATTTCTCAATTAATCAAATGAAATTGACTATTACTGTCTTTTGTCATTATTGTACTATTCGAAATAAATAAAAAATCCAGCTATCCTTTGATATATTAGAAACATCTTCAAGAGTTTTTCAGTTGATAAATTTAATTATATGACAATATTTAGTGTTACTTTGAATAGCAATAATTCAATTTTCAGTAAAAGATGATACATGTCATCAGTAATTAATAAGAAAACATCAGTTAATATATATAAAAAGGCAAAGGAATAACAAGTAAACAGTAAGAACAATGTGGTATCTATTCTTTTTAAGTGTAATTTTTTTGCAACCTCCCAATATATATTCTTTAAATGAAACATGTTGGCCAAGAGCAAATAATTTAACATGTGTTTTAAATAAATTATTTTTTGGATATAATAAATATTTAAGACCTAATCAGACTGGTAGATATCATTTATTCAAGAAAAAAAAACAACAGTGAATTATTATTTTGTGATATATGTAGGAGATCCAATTCGTGTTCAAGTTTATTTAATGATTACTAGTTTAGGTAAGTTAGAAAAAAAAAGATTCATCTATTCTTCGATATATTATTCTCATTTAGGACCTATTGCAGAACTTGATATGGTATGAAATAATTAATTTCAATATCTTGTTCTTTATTTTAATACATATATATAGTCATATACAATGAATTTATTTTTTCGTCAAGTTTGGACTGATGAACGTTTAACTTTACCTAATAAAATATCAAATGTAGCTGTATCAACAAAATTACTTAGGTTAAAAATTGAAAATATTTTTTAATTTGATCGTGTAAAATAAGAATCCAAAATAGTGTTATTATTTCTCTCGCTCATATTTTTAATGATCTCTAAAGTATCTCAAGTATAGACATAGTCACTATGTTTATTTAAATTGATCAAGTCAATAAAAAATTCATCGAATATTAAAGTACATAATGAGAATTTTCTTTCGTTTATAACAACAATTATTTTATGTGTTATTCAACAAAAAAAATTATGTAAATATCGTTTTTTTTCTTCTACTAATGTGACTTTCTAGTGCAATATGGAAACCTGATACATATTTTATAAATTCTCGTTCTGGTTTTCTTCACACAACACCAACACTCAATCATCTTTTACGTATACTTGAAAATGGTCGATTACTTTATTCAAGTCGGTATGTTTATTTAATACTTGATTTTTACTGAAAGAAAATAAAATAAATAAATTTTTTTATTTTGAGATTAACAATTAAAGCTTCTTGTTCAAATTTTTTACGAAGATTTCCATTAGACATTCAAACATGTCCTTTTATTTTATCAAGTTGTATGTTAGAAAATAAAATATTTTTTGATTTATTTATCTTTTATATGAAGATGCTTATGGAACAGAAGATGTTATCTATGATTGGAAACTTGATGAAAATAATGGTGTAGAATTAGTACCACTTAAATTATCACAGTTTGATTTATTTCATTATAAAACATCAAAAAGAATAATTCAATTTAATGATCGTATGTAATTATTTTAATTTATTTCTTTTCATTTTATTATTTCAAAAAGGAAATCATTCTGTTCTTCAACTTGATCTATCTATGCGACGAAATGCTGGTTATTATATATTACAAGGTTATATACCTGCAAGTCTACTTGTTATATTATCTTGGATATCATTTTGGATTAATAGTGATGCAACAGCCGATCGAGTTTATATTGGTTTGTTAAAAAGAAATTGATTTGATAGAAAAATTCTTTTATTTAGGTGTAACTTGTGTACTTAGTTTAACTACACTTATCCTTGATATTCGTTCTTATATACCAGCTGTACCTTATTTTACTGCAATTGATTATTTTTTTATAATGTGTTATTTATTTTTATTTGCTTCAGTAATTCAATTGACGGCTGTACATTGTCATCTTGATGTATAATAATAAGAATAATAATGAACTATGTATATATTTCGATTTATTTTTTTAGTATCGTCGAACAATACGTCGTAAAAAAGTTATGAAAGGTTTATCTAAAACATCAGACCGACAGAATACTTCATCTAAAATTAGTTTATCCGTACAAAATATTCGTCAACTAAATCCTACTCAACGTTCAACATTTGCTGGTGTTGTACAACGTTTACAGAATTTACAACAAAAAGCACCTTTACATGAATTTGATCGTCTTGCTCGTATTGGCTTTCCTTTTCTATTTACTCTTTGCAATTGTATATATTGGTATATTTTTGTTTTTTATACATCCCAATAAGTGTCTAGTGTAAATCTCAAGAGAAGAAAAAAATTCATCTATATATTCTAAAAATAAAATCTATGTGTATGTTTTAACATCTATATAAAATTTTGTTTCTTTTTATCGAATATCATGAAAGAAAACTTATGCACAAGGCCGTCGATGTTGATTAAGAAAAGGAACGAATGAATGAATGAATGAAAAGAAAATTTTCAAATCGATTAATTTGCTTCAATGGAATCGAATAGTTTCACGACTTGTCAAATAAATTTTTTTATAAACATTTATATCGAGCAGGAAGATAGGAATTCTGTTTGATTTTAAATTATTTTGCAGAAAAAACAACCTGTATTCTCTGAGTTATACGTACAACAAATAATTGATTTATTCATTATACATAATCCAATATAAACAGGAAAGGCAGAAGTAAAAGAAATAGTTAAACATATATGTATGAAAACTTTACTCATCAAATTGAATAAAGAAAAAGTAACTGCAATATTATAAAAATTTGTCATAGAACTGAGAAAAAAATTAATAGGTATCCTGTGAATTTATTGTACGAAATAGTAAAAACGACCGTGAATAATTGTCGATATATTTAACGAAAAAAAAAGAATATATAACTTTGATTTTTTTCTCTTTTTAACTTCGAACAGCTACTGAAGAATAACAAAAATAAATGAGAGAAAGAAATGTCTTCATATTTTTTTACTCTGTTTTTTTCATTGTGATGTCGTTTTGATTCCATTATATAAATATCTGGTAATGTAAAGTGTTTGTTCATTCTAATGGAAATGTGATCTTATATTTCATTTATTCATCGTCATAAAATATTTGAAACAAATTATTCATGCTTCGTAAAACAAGACTTTTTTTTCCTATATATATATTTCTATTGATCATTATCGACAAATGAATACCAACAAAAGTCATGTTTTACTCAAATAAAGTATGAAAATATCATATTTTAGTAAATTCATCTAATCAGATATAATATAAATCATGTTATTAAATAAATACATTTTATTACGATAATCATATTTTTAGATGATAATATGATGAAGATGGCTTTTATCATGTTCAAATTTTGTTTAATCACCTTATTGGTTTTTGCTGTGTGTCGATCGCAATCTACCACAGGTAATTTACAATAGGATGTCATTTTTTTTAAAAGAGTTGTTACAAGATGTTGCTTGAAGCATGCTTTCCAACATGATCGATTTTACTTAAACAAAGACAAATACATAATTTGTTGAGCATCATAGGATAATTCCTTTGAAAGAAAACCTATAGAAACAAATATTGAGGGGTCCATCATTTCTGAGACCACCTTCCTATACTTGTCATTGTATTGATTACATATAAAATTTCCAACATTAGTATTGTATTTCGAATTAGTCAAAGAGATACAATCAATTATTCGATCATGTATCTCGTGGAGAAACTTTTGCTCTTTCAATTCTCGAATATAAAATCGAATTTTTTAAGTTCTTTCTTTTTGTCATGATAGGCATTTTTTTTATTAGATTAGTATCTTTTGAAAGGTTTAAAAAAGTAAAAAGTCAGTATGTGATATTTTTTCTAGGACATATTTTTCTTTCGTCTCGTTAGCTTCAATAAGCCTTAGTATGGTATTCATCATTACCCTGTCATGAGAATTTCCTATTATTTTGTACATATGTTTTCGTTCAAGAGGAGAATTGTCATCTAAAGTTTAAATAATACATTAGCTGACGTTTTTCTTAACATTTAATATGAAACAAGACCCTTTGAAGCATACTGGCATACTAGTATTAATGAACTGTACTCATTCAATCCGGTATATATTTTCAAAATACTTCAGATCCTTAGGTTTAAATGTCCATCCACAACTTGCAGTAATATAAACTACCGGATATGAAGACAAAAAATTTTAAATTTCATTTTCTTTTGATTACCTATCATACGAACCGAAACCCACTAAAATACCAAATACACAAAAATATTTTCATTAGAAGTTCTCCCGTCGATTCTATCCAATTCAATTTATTTTCACAGACATAAGAAGCCTTTCATAAATCTTAAAAAAACTAAATATTTCACACTCAACTTTAACCCTTCATATATTTCATCTTCGCGAAGAAAAAGTAATGGTCAAAACAATCAATAAAGAACGAAAAAAAACAATTATTTTTCGAACACCTTAACTGAAGTACCGGAAACATTCTGAGTTAACATAGGTCAGCAGGAGACTATAAGATTAGCTTGTTAGTATGGATCGCAAGATACTTGACATACCAATCTGTCATGATCATATCCGCTCAGTCATATTCTCACATCTTATTACAATCGTGCCATCAGATGATTCATTTCATACTTCGAACTGTAAAAAGAACCAACCGATTTTTACCAAATCCACTATTTTTCGATCAAAATTCATAAATATCATATAGGAACCAATGATGCAACGGAATCAATCACTGGAACCATCGACGATTCTAACGAAACGTATGACCCCACAGCAACGTCATCTCTAGGTAATATAACATTGTCCTTTCATTCTAATACTACATTTTCCTTCTTTATTTATCATAGTAAGTACTACATTATCGACTTTATCGTCGATAACAACTACCACCAGCACAACTACATCGACGACCACAACAACTGCTACTACAACATCAACAAGTGCAACTAGCAGCACAACAACGGCCGCGACCACTTCAACAACAGGAACCACCATCATCACGTCCATTACTAGTACTTCGATCACCGACACTACTAGCACCTCATCGACTACTAGCACAACAACGTCCGACACGAGTACCACTACCACAACTACGTCGACAACCACAACTACAAGCACCGCAACCACAGAAACTACTAGCACAACATCCAGTACCAGTAC